GAGAGAGAGAGAGAGAGAGAAAGAGAGAGAAAGAGAGAGAGGTTGTTCTGGATCAGTTTTGTACTAAAATAATATTCACAATAATACGTAAGTATAAAAATTAAACAACATTAAATTGTATAATCTAGTTTATTTAAAATTTACACAATAATACAATATTATAAAAAATTGTTTTGGATGGAACTCCGACAATCTCACAATAGAAGTACAATAGATATGTCTAACATTGCTTCCGATTTATTGATAAATCTACATCTTAATAGCCGTACGCTTGTTGAAAAGCGGATGTCATTTTGGAAATACAATAGAAGCGGATTAAAGAACCATTTTATCAGCAGCTGTCTAAACAGTGACAGATTTTGATCGACAATTTTTTTACGCGCAATATAGCTCTTGTATTATCATAGAAATTGCGTTATGTTTTATATCTATTATATAATTAATACCACCGAGAAAGTGTAAAATAATGATGTTGTCACGTCTCAAAGAACAATAAAAATAAAGACAAAAAATATATACAACAATTGCACACGCAAAGAATTTCTATCAAACAAATATTAAACATTTAACTTACGTTATAGATGATATACTTCTCGGCGTCGTCATCAACGTATGAATCCGAGGGATATACAGGACATATTATATTGACTTGATCGTATTCAAACGCTGCATTGTTCTTGTTTACGTCAATTATGTGATCTGTATTGTCTATTCGAAATCTGTAATAGAGAAAAATAGACTTATATAAGTAACTCGAGAATGAGAAGTATAATTTGTGTCACACGCGTGAATATATATACACACACACACACACAAAATATACATATATATACAAGTGTCTGAAAAATTTTGACACAGCCGAAGTGTGAAGATAGGTTGGGTTAATCTGAACAGAAAAGTCATGTATTATTTTGGAAAATTCGCAATAGTTATTGAGTGATTAATACATATGTGATACAATGAAGCGATGATTTGGATTTTATAGGCGTGTATGATTTTCAGTTGTAAAGAAAAATGGTTCACTTCATGCAATCTTCTAACAGCAAGAAATGGAGCAAACAAGCGAGTGGCGAGTGACACAGCTTCTTGCAATAAACCGATTTTCACAATTAAAAGTCATACACGTTTCCAGAGTCCGGACCATTGTTTGTCACGCTCTCATTTGGTCACATGTATTCCCAGGCAACCAGCTATATAAAGTCAGTTTTTGACAAGTTCGACGTTAATTTATGACGTGATATTAACGTAATGACGACGTGAGTTTGTCTCGTCAAAAATGACGACAGGTTAATAACGTTTACTTACGTCATTAATTTGACGTAACGTGATTAATGTGACATCCCACATAGCACGTAATATTACTGCAAAATCACACACAAATATTGCTTTTCTTTTCTGCAATATTACACTCTAATATAATAGAAATATTACCGTAATGTTAATGTAATATCACAATATAATATTAAAATGTCCGTCAAAATACATCACAGTAATATTACAATGATATGTAAAAAAAACTAATGGCACATCGTAAGAGGGGAATTAATTTGAGATTTCACTCGAATTAATCTTTGGAGGCCTGATTCGGTTTGTCGATCAACTGATTAACTCAATGAAAGGTATTGAGTCCGGAAAAAATCCTGAGGTGATGGTGAGATTTGAGGACTCGAGACCTCCATATTCACAGCCTCTGCACTCAGTCCGCAAGACCACTTGTTCCTTGCTAAAATGTAATTCTTTTCTCTGCTTATTCTCAAGCTATTCTACGCATTTCATTTATTACTTATTTAAATTATTATTTTATTAAAAATATTGCAGTAGAATATTTGTAATAAAAAAATAATGTAAACAAATAATTACAAATATTGCACAGCAATATTTTTAATAAAATAATAATTTAAATAAGTAATAAATTAAAATAATTGCAGTGCAATATTTTTAATAAAATGCCTGCAACAATGGATAAAATTATTTTTTTTATTATTAGTATTATTATTAAATATAATTTAAAATACATTTTTCACAGCGAGAACAAATTTTTGTTAACATGTACTGATTATTAAAGTCAATTCTTAATAAATATATACCAAATGATATAGAAAAATATGTACACATAAAAATATATATATATATATATATATATATATATATATATACGCATTTATATGTATCAATTTTTATTATATAATAATAATTATATAGTAAAAATGTTATACACGAACAAAGTGTTTTTTGTTGATTTACTACATTTTGAAAACAAAGCATTTATGTTTAAAACAAAAGTTGTTAGATTTTTACAACAACGTAGTAAAAGATTATGTCATATTATATATAAGATACAATACAATGTATGCAACTTGCTAAATAGTAAATACCATTATTGTAATAGTAAATAACATTAAATAACATCTTTAACGTTCATAAAACATAATAAAAACCATTATTGATGTTTTGCTACTTAAGATGCAATACAATATTACCGTACTATTTTAATATTATATATAAATGTAGTATATTGATTATATTATTGTAATATTGTATTGTACAATATAATATCTAATATTACTACTATATTGCAATTTTACTGTGATATTTCCGTAATATTACATGCTATGTGGAATCTTACATATAATACATAAATATATACTCAAAAACAAATTTTTAACAACCGTGTTATTTAAATAATGTCATAATGACGTCTTACTCACTTATTTCAACTGACGTCACTCCAAAGACCAATAGTTACATCATACATGACGTATACGTATGACGTACATACTGACATCATTGTTATGACGTTCAAAATAACGTCAGATTTAGGTCATAATCACTAATTAGTGACAAAAATCACGTATATTTACGTCATTACAACGTCAGCTGGGTTATTTAATCACTTAATAACTATTGTGAATTTTGCAAACTAATACAGTCGAACCTCGATAACTCGCATCTCAAGGGAAGAGCTAAAATCGTCGAGTTGTAGAGGTTTCGACTTATCGAAGTTCCTCTCCGCGGAGTGCAAGGGAATGAACAAAATTTTCGTTCTATAGAGGTTTTCGAGTTATAGAGGTTCGAGTTATCAAGGTTTGACTGTACATGACTTTTCTGTTCAGATTGATTGATCAATCTATCTTTACACTTCGGCTGTGTCAAAATTTTTCAGACACCCTGTATACATATATATAGTATGTATGTATGTGTGCGCGCGCGTGTGTGTACGGACACAATATATAAATATATTTATATTCTACTTACAACGCTACACGTAATAAACAATTTTATAGAAACTATTCGTATGCATGTACAATATCATGGCTTGGAAGAAAACGCTTTTTCTGAGGAAGATCATATTTCCATAGACTGCAGAGTATGCATGTAACGCATATCGCCGTTTCCGCAAGTTCTAAGTTTCCTATCCGTAAAACATTCGCAAGATGCCGACGCTTCTAGTAGTATCTTGAAAGAAGCGAGAGGAAGACCGGCAAAAGACTAACGTCTGTCAGTAGCCAGGTCAAGAAAGAGAAAGAAAAGACACTTGTAAGCACCTAACGTCAGATAAGTAGACGTTCGTGGTGTCGATGTATCGCACAAGTGATGTACTGATTTTTGTACAGGGTGTTTCAAAAGCAGCCAACAATTTTCCTACAAATGAGAATTCTATAAGAACAGTAAAACAATAATTAATAACATAATTGTCTCTTTTTATTATAAATATTTTGAATATTATTTTTATAGTTTACACACAGATATATTTTTATATATTTTACATTAATACGTTAATGGAATATATTTTGGTAAAAATGTATATAAAATTGAAAAAAAATCAGTTACTCTTGATACTTATTTAAAGATGACATTTTTTCACAGAAACAATTACTTGAAGTTTGTTCAGCTTATTCTCAGTTCTTTAGCTCGGACACCCCATACATTTACGCATGCGATATACACTTTAAGCTAGCAACTGTACACGTGTGTACACATACACACGCGCGCGCGCGCGCGCGCGTTGCCGCATTATGTAGGATTGGGTTTGCCGTTGAAGATATACATACTCGGTAAGGATGAAGGAATGAAAGGTCGGCAGATGAGTCGAGGAAGAGAAGAAAATGCAGAAAGAGAGAGAGAAAGAGAGAGAAAGAAAGAGAGAGAGAGAGAGAGAGAGAGAGAGAGAGAGAGAGAGAGA